ATGGGCTAGACGGGCTGAAAGAAGTAGCTATCTACACTTTGAAAAGAGATTACTGCAATTTTTTCCAAAAGGTATGTCAGTTCTCATGCTACTTTGAACCGTAAAGCCTAAGAAGAATTTTCGTTCTATTACTTACACATCATACCGACGAGATACTTAACGATTGTGTGGTCAAGGTGTTAGCTTAATTCAACGGACCCTATTCTTATGTGTAAATCTGCTAAATTCACTGGGATGGATGATGGGAGTAAGGCCTGTGGTATCATCCACCTATTTATAGAGGCTTGTAAACCACAACTGATGAAAAGCAGTATTCCACATGATCAATTTTATATATATATATGGAGTATAATTTAATACATTGTATTATGTATTAAATGTACATACAATATGTAATTGTTCTTAATAGGAATATGGAAACACTATATTTTCATATCAGATTTCATGGGCATGTATTTAGAAAATATTTCTGTTCAATTAAAATTAGTTTAAAAACAAACAACTGCTTAGAGTCAAGCATTTTCATGCATTAGGCTCACTAGGCTGAATACTACTTTATTGACATGTGCGGAAGCAGATGACTTCCCTATTCTGCATAAAGGCGAACAAACTTAAATACCGTGGTAGCTGACAGTACTTCCGTTTGAACTGAAGGTTTTGTACTTCTGTACAGTTTCTGTAAGTCAGAATGTACAATAATTGTGATAATTTGCTAACAACTCTAGCCTGTTCCTGGAAAACAGCAACCTGTACTAGAATGCATGGCTATTGCTCATTCATTGGGAGTGGAAAACCTATATGCTGCTTGCATGAAGTAAGTAAAATAAAATAAATTATGGTTTATGTTTTTCATTTCTCTGCTTTCTGATGAAATTATTTTACTTTACGAGATTGGGTTTATTTTGGCCTATAAAATGTTCACATTTTAAGCATTTTTTTTCTTCACAATACTTTAGAAGTATCACTGATGCTGATAAGTGAAGACAGAACATTTTTCACCTTCCTCACCTAAGAAAGGCTCTTTTTTCAACAGATGGGTAGGAAAACATTTTGCAAAATGTTTGTCAGAGAGAAGCTTTGCCAGTTTACCTACTGAACTTCAGAACAACTGTCTTGTTATGTTGATTAACTCTTTGGTAAGTAGTATATAGTGTGCTTTATATAAAAATAGAGCAATGCAAATTTTTTCCTTATTTAGCTGTGCAATGTAATTAAAGAGATAATAAATATAGTATTTTAAATCTGTAGTACACTTATACTATGTAAAAGTTCCCATTAAAATAACAATTTAAAAACAGATTTTGATGTGTAGATGTTGTTATGCTTCACGGCACACAGTCTAGTGATAATCACATCAAGTCCAGCATAATAATACAAAATAAGTTTATGAAACACAGCTGTGACATCATAGCACAGCATTATTTATTCACATAGTGAGGAACAGCAAATTGCTGTATCAGTTTCGATGTTAGGTGGTGGCATACATCATTGGTGATGACGTTTTACTCTTTGCCTATATTCTAATTTGGAAAAAATGTACTTTTTTTCAGACTTCAGGTGATCACAGGCTATCGGTGATCACAAGCCATTTGTTTACAGGCAAGCTGACTTTTCAAAAATAAAGTAACAGTATATGTATCTTCTACTTCTCAGATAACAGTACTGAATCGGTCCCCTCAAAGCTCAGCATTCATTTTTTGTGGCACACATTTACATTGTTCCAATTTAGATCTGCCTAAATTTAAATACTTTATAATTGTGTTTCTGTATAAAACTACTCTGAGCTGACTTAAAAGTAACTGATTTGAACTAGACCTGTTAACAGGAATTTGGTCCGGTAATTAGCCTGTAAATACACGGAATTGTAACAGAGATATGAAGAGTAGGTAGAGGAGCTAAAGGTAAACCTGTACAGCTGCTGCTAAGCATGACTGTATATGTATGTGACTGTAATGTGGATTGGCATACAAAAAGTTTAGTCTAGTTAGCTCAGGTAACATTCACAGGATGATTTTGGTTCTAGCACACACCAGACAGCTAAGTATGTGATGTCTCATATATTTCATGCTGAAGTCCTTGTCCCCGTGTTTCTGTTGCTGTTGTTACCCAATCTAAATAGCTCGGGTATGGCTACCCACACTGCCAAACATACCCCTGGTTCAAAAGAGGTACTCTTAAATGGTTCTGGCCAAGAACTGCCCCTCGCTGAAACAGCTGTGAAGGCTGCTTGGGACTGTTTTCTCTCAGGACTTCTTTGATGGAGTACTTACCCCATCGAGTGCTGAGGCCAGCAGGTCAGCTGTGAGTGACCGCTGCTACTGCATATTCCGGTGAAAGCCTGAAAAACAAGAGATTTCAGAGCTATGTGGCTGCACCAAGAGAAGCTTGAGAGTATCCACAGTTATAAAAACTGAACAGTTCTTCTACCAGAATGCATAATTTCTAACAGAATAAAGATAGTAGCTATAGCTCTTAAGATACTAGGTGTTCTGCCATTATATTAGATCAGTATACTCAGTTGTTCCTAGAATATATACATAGCTTTGTATGTCATATATTGTGTAAATATTTGAGAAGTTTTAAGTAAGGTTTTCAGGATTATGGATCAGTTCATTCTGATCTACAGGTGTTCATAGTTACACCACCACCCATCTCCAAACTAGCTCAGGTGTGTAGTGTAGACAAGTATACGTAGACACAGTTCTAGGCTCCCCTCCAGGTACCTTTGTGCAACATTATCAGGACAGCTTAAAGGTAAACCTAAGCTGCTTCAGGCCTTCCTTCCCCTCTGTGCCTATTATAATATATCAAGATGCTGTGGTTACAGTTTGTATTGAAATACATGAGCTATCTTTAAGCTACCAGCATTTGCAGAACAGTCACGGCACTGTGGTATTTGGTACTGCTCCAGCTATGTACCCCGCTTCTCCGGAAGATTTTTGCAGTCTGGACTAAAGTGTGTTTTGGTTCCTATTTTACTGAGTTAAAACTTGTGTTGGTGCGTCTTTGGTATTCACTGGTATTTTTATGGACTGAAGCCTAGAATTTATAATTGCAAAATTTAAAGCATAAGACTCTTCTGCCCACGGAACAGTTCTGGTGAGTGATCATTTAACTCTGAGCTCTTAAGACACCCAGTCCAAAAACTTGGACAAACAAACACTGGAATTCCCAGTGGAGTTTTTCATAATCTGCAAAAATGCTTAAGGTTGCTCAAGGGAGAAGGAAGAAAACATCAAAATTAATTTTGCAGGGGCTACTGTATGTTTTACAATCCTCTGCTGCTACAGTTCTCTGCTGTAAAACAGTTACACGCAGTTAAACAGTGTGACTCTACTGATCCTTTCATTTACCAATCTTGGAAATGTAAAAGCTAGTTAATGTGGGGCAGCCCTTTAGGTGAAGAAAAGGTGCAAAGAAAAGGAGATTGCTGATTGGAAAATCTCCGGGAAGCCACAATGGTGAACGCAGAAACATTAAAATGGGAGTGCAGTTTAAAACGCTGTTCAGGTACTTAGCCCTGGTGTCTCAACTACATGCAAGGAAATTACCATTTTTTTAGATAAGTAAAGTGGACTCCACTTTAGAATGGTTAGGAAAAAAATATAACGAGAAGTAAAATTCGGTTAGAGCCACTCCTACAAAGTGCTGATATAATTGGAAGTCAACGAAGGCATTTTATATTTCACTGGAAGTGTCTAATGGGAGTAAATGCTTATTGCCTTGTGAGCAGGGGCTGAATTCTGGACAACTCAAAAATCTTGTAATTGAGTCCAGTGGGAGCAAGATCAACCCATAAGCATATACTTAATCCTTAATTTACTTATATGCATAGAAGCAAACTGGTTTTGCCCACAGATGAGTAAAATAATAAGAAAATATAGTTGAACAATAGCTGGCCAGATTTTATGTTTTAAGGACAACATGCATGAAGAAAATCCTCCCTGCTTTCTACTTTGCACAGGACAAACATGATTATAATCTGAATTTACAGTAGGGTTTTTTGTGTCAAATATTTATCTGAATTGTTGCTTTCTCCAGTGTTAGTGATCTTACTGCATAATTTATCAGTGACCTGCTAGGTCATGTTGAGTAGAGCTTTCAATCCATTCTGATGTGGATAACAATAAATTCAAGTTCTTTTTAAGTGATGTGTTAGCCAGTAGAAGTTGCCCTCAGGTACTGTGCTGGTGAGACAATGCAACTACTTAGACAAGTACGAAAGAATCAAAGGTACAGACCAGGGGAATAAATATTAGGCAATCTGTTTGCTTGTTTTAAATGTAACTATAAACATAACAGTTATGTTTCTTAGAGAAACGTTAGACAACAAAGAGGGTAAGTTCCGTTAAAACTCCATCTGGGAGGACAAATATTTGATGTCTGACTCCTTTAAATAAAGCAAAAGGATTCATAACTATGAAAATGCTTGGGTATTTATGTATCCCAAATGCTAGGCCATCCACACTCACCTAAAACTTTCACCTACCCATTTTGTTCAAGAATTTATTACATCTTTCAGTGACCTAAAAGGGTTTTCTCTATTCAGTTTCTCCAGTTAACATTTGCCTTACCTTGTCCAGGACCACAGTATGTAATGACACACAGTTGAAAAAATACAATAAAAGCTATCGAAAACTTACTCCCTAACTTCAGCAGGCAAAACAGAAGCAGTAGATTTTTCTTTTTCTGCTTTAGTTTTGAAGGTAGGTATAATGCCCAGAATTATCAAAATCCAAATTTATTCAAAGAAGGGAAGTTAATACATAACTGGATCCTTGTGTAAGTGTTCAGTAACTGAACAGAAGCTGTTTTACGAGCAGCAATTGTTCAGGTGATTACTTGGCAACAGGCTAATTTCTGGTTTTATTTTAAGAACCACAAGAATGCTGCTTTCCTTTTGATGGAGAGTGACCGGCTGATCAATAGTCTTCCCCAAGTGAAATGGACAGAGGCAGCTGTGGCCTTGGCATCTAGGCTGCAAGAAGAATGCATAACATTTATTGTGGCAAACTTCCTACACGTAGTACAAAGTGAAGGCTTCTCTGTTTTGTTGCAGGTAAAAGTGCCCTCAAGTTATTGTATGCTTCCAAATAAACTGAATTATATCACGCTTTGGATAGTTCAGTCTGCTAAATAATCAAAATAGTTTCAACTTTTGCTTTAAAGTACAATTCTATGGAAAACTAAAAAAAAAAAAAATTAGGCAGTGCTAAGTTTTTTTTTTTTGGGGGGTGGGGGTTTTTTCAGTGTTGCTTTAAAGCGTGTTAATACTTTGATACGCAGGGTTGATACTGCGTCCAGGTTATGTGCCTGAAGTTAAGCAAAAGTTCCAATGAATTTAGTGGAACAGTTTCTGTGTTGCGAAGAGATAAGTATATACATAAGCTTTGAAAAAGCTTTTGGACCCCTGGAATAACAGCATGTACTTGAAAGAATGAGTATACTGCTAATACTCATAATCAAACTTCTACTGATTTTTGTTGCAAGTTGCAAGAATGTGGCAATGTTGCAGGTCCTGGTGACTAGCTGGTTCATTTCTCCCATGAAAGATTTTTTTTAATATGTATAGAGACTTAAAAAAAAATAAATAGATGTTAACACATTTTGTCTTTGAATCTAGAGTTGCATGTGGCTGTAAATTCATCGCAGTGTGCCTGTTCCTAAAATTTGGGTTAGCAAGAGGCCTCAGGATGATTTGCTAGAGGCCTGGGGAGGGGTGGGGTTTTGGAATGGATACAAAGGAAGATGCTCAGCTTTGGAATACCTCCTGCACAGCGTGATAGCAGATCCTCTCTGCTCAGTAATGCTTTTGCATATGAAGTACTCTTTTGTTTTAAATGGCTGTCTTTTGTTGTTTCCTCAGGCACAGGCAATGAGCAGCAAACCTGACCTTCTAGAACTAATTTTTAATGCAATTGAAAAAAGTATTAATAATGAAAACAGCTGCTTTCTTCTTGTAGCTGTGGATACGTTGTTGGACTCCACAAATGTGAAGGAGATGGTAGGTTTTTCAATGTGCGGTGCTTGTAGCAGGAACGATTCTGGTATCGTTTCATGTAATGGGTCAAACCAGATGATGTGGTTTGAGCTCAGGTGGCTCAGTCCTGCAACTGGGGTCACACAGAAAAGCATCTGCATAAATCCAAGGTCCTGTTGGAAGTGCAGAAAATGTTGGCGTTTGTTTACTGGGTATGAACACTTTTCTTTTAAAGATAAACCCTATCTATGGCAATAAAAAAATTATTGTTACTGAGAATGTATGTCCCATGGGCACCACTGCTCTGTTGATCTTTACCATCACTTTAATGTTGTGATGAGAAAAAACTTCTCAAAATATTGCATTACCTTAAACTTACAGGGGAAGAGAGCTTTTTCTCTCTATGTATCTTTTCCCCTCTTTTTGTAAAAGTCATAGCTACATTTGCTTAAGACTGTTCTCTGAAGCAAGGACTGCCTCTTAATCTAGTGTGTGTTTTTTGGACTGGGGGGAGGTGTCAGTCTCCATGTGTGTAACATACTGTGTATATCTGCACAATCTAAATAATGATATTTAAGCCGTGGTTGACTGTAATGCTGGGGATAATTAATGAAGAGTATGACATACTGATTAAAATCCAGAATGATGCTACAAGCAAAGAATGAAAAATAAATGCAAAATGAATTACTGCAATCTGGTGCTATTGTAGGTCATCTTGGTAAAAGCAATGAAAATTTAATCAGATACATTATTTTTCCCTAGAGTATTTGACCTTGTTGTGACACAGCTGACAGTAAAGAGCTATTATGGGGTTCATTTAAAAAAAAAAAGAAAAGGAAGGAAAAAAAAGAGCAACGTGTTGTTCTCTAGTGCTGTAGTATGCCTTGGAGTGACTTGGTTTTCAAGTATTGTAAAAAATTACTGTGGTGGGCAATAATCCTTCAAAAACAGCATCTCCATCTACCAGGCCATTATAAAATATAAGTGATGACATCATTGATCTAGCTTAGGGAGTAAGTAGATTCTGAAAGGAATAATGACTGGTTGCTATGACAATACGCCCCTCGCCAGCTGCTGATTTGTTACTTGAACACAGGGTTTTACGTGCAAGATCCAGGCGCTGCGTGATAAGCTCTGGGTCTTCCTGGTTCAGTCTTTTTATGCTGTTCGTCACACAGAAAGCTGGAAGCTGATGAGGCCAGACCATCAACAGAAAATACAAGCAGGTATGTCTGGTATCAAATGGCATTAGAATTTTTTAGCAATCTGTTTAGTAGATAAAATGTAGGTGGTATTGTGGAGCCAGATACAAATTAAAGCAAGATTTGTGATGCTCTAGGTTTTTGAAGTGGTGTTTTAGAATAGAAGCATGATAGCGTGCTTAGCTAGTTTCAAACATGGAAATCAGTAAGTCATTTTCTGTGAAAAGTCTCCCCTGCTTTTTTTTTTAGGGGTGTATATAATAGGAACCAAAGCCATGTAGATTGATTCTATTCTTATTTACAGCTACTCTGAATTATTGAAAATACTGCAGTAGGATTAAAAACCTTATCTGTCTCATTTTTAAGGAGATAAGCAGTGTGGATGAATTAAATTTGCACAAAGCAGATTATCCGTTCTCTGAATTCAGTTTCTATCCTTTATCGTTTTCTACATACTGTCTAAATATTGCTTGTCTCTTGCATAATGCTTATCTTGTGCACAGTGAGTAAATGCAGATAGCTTGACTTCACAGTTGATCGGTATTGTGATACTGTGTATGCTACTGCAGAGAGCCCCTAAGGAGCTGCATAGTGACCTCTCAAAATTTAAACAGGCAGCACTTCCAACAAAAAGGAGTTTTTGTTCTGAACGTTTCTTTGTTTTGAAGTACATAAGTATTCTGAGGGTGCGGAACTGATGATGGAGTTTGGGTTATGGTTGAATATTAGCTTTGACAGTATGGTGTTATAAAAGAAAATAATGTGTTGAAGACTTCTCTAAAATCAAATCACTTTTGATTCAAAGGAGAAATAAACATTTTTGGTGTCCTTTTTGTTAAAGACATTAGTAGCTAGGATATGATAGTTATAAAATTGTTTACGCCTATAGATAGATGAAAATTTTATTCTACAGTTACACGCTGAGAGAAAGATGCAGTGACAGTCTTTCTAAGCATGATTTAGGGATGTAGTCAAATAACATTTCACTGCTACTGTATAAAACAGGTTTACGACTTCTTTCTGGATTATAACATCCTTCAGATGCTGAGGAGCTGGCTTTAGAAACAAGGGTGGGTTTTTTTGTTTTGGGGTGTTTTATTTTTAGGATGATCTTGTCCTTATTGTAGATAACGTTTAGGCTGCTTTGCACTAGTGCTTTCAATACAAAAAATTATTTAAGACTGAGGTGTGCCTTAGTTGTCCAAACTCCATCTTGCCAGAAACTGTTTTGTTTCCTTTTAGATTAAATTATAACTCAGAGCTAGCATACATTTTATGTGTAAACAGACAGGCTGAAATGTTTGCATAAATTATCTGTTTTTTATTACAGGCAAAGCGATCACACAATACTGGTAGACAAATTTTAATCTTCAGGTGAAATATGTCTAGGATAACTTAAAATCAACTTTCATCTTAAAGATTTCTGGTGGTGGTTTATCTTCTAGAGATTTAACCTATATAGAATTAGAAGGCTACAATAGAGGAGGAAAAATGCCAAAAGAAGACAGATGATATTGTGGGGTTTTTTCATTCATAACATGTCTTGTGTTTTCTTAGGCACAAGTTTATATGGATTTTGTCTTAATATATTGGTATGTATTAATGTGCAGAGTCATTGCTAGAAAAAGGATTAGATCCCTGGGGTGCCATTTTCAGCATACCTTTTGTGTGATTTTTACAGACCTATATTAAAATTATTTTTAGTATCTTCAATAAGAATTCAGCAGAATTTTTGTGTGTATAACGGACACATTTTTTGTATGTATAAATAGTATGTCAGAACATGAGGCACTGAATGCTTAAATTTTTTTAATACATTTTTTGCAAAACCTTTTTTCAGCTGAAACATTAATACAAACAAAATTAAACCTTATCGATTCTGGGTCTGTACAGTGTCTATAAATATCCTTTTTGTATTCTACAAGCGCAATTGATTTAAAGGCTTTATTGAAAAATGCTTCCCTCCCAGAGTAGACCAGTCAAAAAAAAAAAAAGCATTCACTGCCTGAAAATTCCACATGACAATCACAGGGATAACTCCCATGACATTATGCTGCATGCTATCTAAAGAGGCACTATGATCTTGCTGTGTACGTTTAGATATTTTGACTTTACCACTTTTGAAAACTAATATAATTTAATGGAATTAATCCCTTCTTTAAACAGTATAAATAAATATTCTATAAATTACAGTACATCACTTAAAAGTCATTAGTACTCTAAATTTGAATGCCTGTCTTTTTTGTAAATTGTGTACACTTTCAAAGGTCTCAGTGCACTGCAAGCTTTAAGTGAGCTAAGCTTGGATAATCAAAAGTGTGTCTTACTATGGAAAGGGGAAACAGGAGAGTTAAACAGCTTGCTTATGGCCATGTGACCTCATTACAGATACCACATTTTTTGTTCTGAACACAAACACATGTATTTTCACTTAACATTTACCATGTCACCAAAATTAGCCTTTGTAGAATAATTTACAGGACCCAAAGAACTGCCTTCTGATTTCAGATTATATTAATTGAGTAGGCTGGATTGTTTTGTGTCTCCCTTCTTTCCTGCTAAATAGTAAAGAAACTGCTTGTTCCTTTTACAGCTGCATTTGACAAGGGTGATGACCGAAGACTTGGCAAAAAACCTGTATTCACTAGTTCTCAGGTAAACATTTATATCCAAACATTAAAAATACTCAGAAGCTTGCAAACAAAACTATTTTCATTGTGTTTTAAACTGAATATTAATTTGTCATATTATTTATTGGAACCTGCTTTTGAAAAATCTGTGGTTTTTTGGTGAACTGTTATTTCTGCAGAATCAGTAATGTCCGTTACTGGAAACATCTTAGGACTCAGCCTATGCTCTGCTACGCTTTCAAACAGATAAGCTCAAATAAAAGACAGGAATTTGTGTTCAGAATCTCGCATTCCCCTGTTGCTATGTAATGAAACTGATCTGTTTCCCAGAGCAAATGGTTTGCTACTGAGCTAATGAATCTCTGCTATTATCACAAGCCACCACAGCACTGAGTCTGTTATGCTCGCTGCCCTCAAAAAATATTTTTTTAGTGCCCTCAACAACTCTTCTACTGAGACTCACACTCAAAACTACATTATTATTTGGTAGAAAAACAGAATGGGTTTCATTCTGATGAAACAAACCGTCAAATCATGTTTTGACGGTCTTGGATACATTGCAATGACACTGGTTTCACAAAGATTCCATTTAATGCACTTAATTCTCCATGTTCTGGTTTGTATCTTTACCTGAGAGAGAGAACGAATATTGCTACTTATCTGGTGGATACACTGTTGGTAATGGTTAAAAACATCAGAAGTATTATAAATTAATTTTTGTTTTTATGTTTGTAATAATTCATAGTCTTTATTCCTCTTTGGAAAATATGCACATATAACTCAAAGTTTTCTTACTTCAGCAGACACTATAATACAAATAAATATTAGAGAGTAATTTGTCCAAAGTAAAAGTGAAACTCTACCTATGTTATTTCTATATCCTCCATATAGAGCAGTATTTCGCATAAGATTTACTAGGCACTCTATTTCTGGTACTTTTATTTTTGAAAGCCAGCAATCTGAGCTAAAATATAATTTTTTTTAAATTATTTCTATGCTGAATCTTGTTGCTTTAGATTAGTGTACTACTTAAAAAGTAGCTGTGTTTCAGAAATTAAAGATTATGGACAGTTTGGTGTTATAAATGTCTTCTGGGTTTTTTTTTTTGTTTTTTCCTGATGCTTTTTTTTTCCTAGCTAAACAAATCTATTGGTATAAGGGATACTTCCTGGACAGAACACGGCAAGAAAGATTGCTGGGGAGATTCTTCCACTAATCAGGATAAAATGAAATCTGATGGATTAGGAGCATCTGGACATACATCAAGCACCAATAGAAACACTGTTAATAAGGCTTCAAAGCATGAGGATGTAAAGGGGAAAGATGGCAAAAAAATAGTTTCCAAGATTACTAAGGATTCAAAACCTGGGGAAAAAGCTGCTTCACCAAAGGCTAGAGCTGTTATAAAGACAAAAATAGAAAATAATGGAAATGTGAAGGCTGAAAGCATGCTTACCAAGCAAGATATAGAAAAGGCATCATCTGCAAGTGGACAAAAAAATTCAGGAAGTGGCAAAGGACTAAAGAACCATGAAGGAAAAATTGCAGGTGCCAGACCTAAAGTGCTGACAGTAACCTCAAGTGCACAGATCAAAACAAAACCATTGAAAAAAACCACAGGGAAGGAATCTCCCTCCTTAGTGACTGTGGCAGGAACTTCCAGCAAGTCAAACTCAAGCATAGATATCCAGACTGCCAGTGAACAGACCGAGGAACCCAAAGAGGATAAATTGGTAGAAGAAGGGAAAAAAGAGACTGGTAAATTTTTAAAAAATTTTTTTTTTTTAAGTCCCCTTCTGGTTTGTCCCAGGCTGGTCATACACTGAAAACCAGCCTGGGAAGCTTTAAAGAAATCTACTGTAGCTTGATAAGAGTCACCTTCTTCCCCTGTAAATGAATACTAACTTGAGATAAGAATATTAAAGTTCTCCTCTATTAATTGACCTTATTATATAATTAACTGATAGCCATATAAACTGGTAAAGGTTTTACAAGTTTATGCTGTTTTCAATAGTTAATTTTTTTTATATATTAGAATTTTTTCAGTACTTATATGCAATGCATTTCCCCCTATAATTAACTTTGAATTTACTTTACAATAGTGAAAACAAAGCCATCCGTGAAGACATCAAATGGAGTCACCAACAAAAAAAAAAAGACTGAGCTTGAGGCTAATGTCACAACAAGCAGGTATGTTACAAATCAGTATGTGCTTTACGTGTGTGTGTGTATGTTTGTGAAAAAAGTTTCAGGTGAACTATTAAACTTACTGTTAAGTCAACATGTTCTTTTTAATCTGAGAATGGTTGTCTGTTGCATGTTATTAGCAAAACAATTTGAGTTAGCTATTGGAAACATTGCTGTAAAGATAAGATTGGTTTGGCTTTTGTGTTGGATTGTTTCATGCTAATCATTTTAAAATTGTTATAGGTCATTCAGAATTCTCCACACTGGAACAGTTAATGACTACACAAGGTGTTGTAAACCTACGTTTCTGGGATAGCTTAGATTAAACTGGACAGGAAGACAGCTGAAGCACTGTGAAATTGTGAAATGGGTCATTTATATGTGTGTGTGTGTATATATAAAAACATATATATACACACACATGTAGGTTTTATTTTCAAAAAATATACCTTTTAGGTTGCATTTGCAATGTTTGTGTATGTGTGCATATTAAAACACATATTGCTTGCTCAAATATAATTAAACATTGCTAGATCTTAAGCTTGGAAATAATGGATGTAATAATTTCTTTGCAGTCTGACCAAAAAATCAACTGGAAAAGGGTGTAATGAACAGAATGTACAAGCTGTTCTAAAGAAAAAAGGGAATGTGAGTAGCAATTCTGCAGCACAGCAAAAGGCTCAAAACACACCTACCCATTCTCCCAAGAACCAAGGTAAAGTTTCGTACAGCAATGAAACGGCTGCCATTATTATGCAAAGCTTTGTCTTTTTTTTTTCTTCAGCGGAAGCATTTGGCAAAATCTTCTGAACAATTCTGTTTATTTTCCATATTTCACTTTTGGTGACAACCCTAAGCTGTAAAATGCAAATGAACGTGTGTCAACTTCAAAATATTTAAAAGATGGTCTTCACTGCCAATTGGTGTTTTCTTCTGCTTTTTAAATCTGCTTTGCAGAGTCTTTTATTTGCTGATCCCCTGCACTTCTGTACTTGGAACCATGACTGAGTTCAACAGAAATTCTGTAGGTCAAGCATTTATAATATGCATCAAAGATCTGGACTGCAGACTTCTTTATGAACTGTTAGTTTATGCACCCCTTTTTTGGTGATCCCCCCTAGGCGTAGCACTACTGATACTGACCTACCCCACAAATGAATACTTGATTTCAACAGCTATTTGTATCAAGTGTGGGAAATGACATTGTCGACCATGGAGAGGAAACCCTGCTTTATAAAGATACAAAGTGTTAAGGATGGAGCTCTTTTTAATCCCATTTGGACTTGGCACTTACTGGGGGGGGGAAGAATATTCAAGTTACATTATCTTAAATGCATTATGATATAGAAAACACAGGTCCTGTCAATTTGTGGTCATTAAAGATCTTGCAGTATTTTCTGACTGAACAGGGATATTAATTCTGGTATTCTAATCACATTATAACTAATGTAATTATTTTCTGCCTACTTTCATTTCCTCTACAATATAAATTGAATACAGTACTCATCACTTCCTGTGCTAAGCTGCTGTGCAGTGTTTCTGTGCACTGTTAGATAGCTGCTGCTTTCTACTGCAGTGATGACTATTTCAGTTACAGGTTGAAGTAATTCTTTGATGTGTAGTCTATAAAGTGCCCTAGTTTTGAAGATGGCACGTAAATGCAGGATGGTATTTTGGTCTAGTATTTGTTTTGAGATCTTAATTCTTTAACAAGCCTTAAATCCTTTAGTTACATAAAAAGTTGAGTAACTTGCTTCTCAACATAAATGAACACTAACATAAATTTGGTGAATATATTTTGACTAGCATATACAATCTTTATAGTCTTTTTCTTATGGTTTGTTAGGGCCTCAGGGGGAATCGCCAAATTCACTGAAATCAGGAATGTCTCCAAAACATAACGAAGAAAAAAATGTGTTACAACATCTGGCTCAGACAACATTCTCAGAAAAACATCCTTCAGCCAAGAAGAAGAGTGTTAAGCAGTCGCAAACACCTGTAGCAAAAGCCACTGCAAAAATAACACCTAAAACTCTGCCTCCGTCAAAGCATGCTGAGATTATGAATAATAAAGACCCAAAACCAAAAACAGCTGGGCAATCTGTATTAAAATCTCAGTCCTCTGCCCAAAAACACTCAAGGAGTGACTCCCCTGTTGTCCAGAAGAATGTGCACATCTCTGAGCACAGAAGTTCAGGACAGAAACTTGAAAAAAACACGGCTGGTGCTGTGGCAGGTCAGCTTCACGACAATAATGAATGCTATTCTGCAAAGCAAAGTGAATCTTTAAAATCTGTGATGGAAAGTAGCAGTGAAGATAAACTGCTGGCGTCCTGTCAACCCAATAAACAAAAACTATCAGATCCTTCTGAAAACGCGGAATACAAAATACAATCTGAATCTTCTCCTCCTCTAATTACAGAAGAAACACTTTCTAAACTGCACGTTTCACTGCAAAATGAAATGGAAGCAAGACAGATCTGTGGAGATGAGACTGGAATGAAACAGATTGAAGATACAGAGAAAGATGATAATACAGCTGAATCTCACTGTCATGCAGAGTCTTCCAGTGACGGATACTCAGACTTTTCCAAGGAAACCAATCAAAAGGCTACTGCTTCAGGAGAACTAGTGAAACATTCAAAAGCAACAAAAGCCTGTACTGAACAAAGTGAGAAATTAAAGTCTGAAACAGGTCTTAATTACGGTGAAGATGCTTTACCAAGCTTTTCCAGAACGATAACCAATAAAGAGGATGAGACATCATTTCCTCAGATTCATATGGAGGGACTTCTTACAGCTGATGAGCTGTGTGATACATCAGCCTTGACTGAATACAAATCAGTTACAGCAGATTTAGATGATGTTTCAGAATGTTCCACAGAACAAATAACAGAAAAATGTTCACCTAGTTACACAGAACCTGTAGATCCTACAGAAATGCCAGAAAACCACGAAAATGCAGAAATCCCCTTCGTGGACCACTGGAGTACTGGTGCACTAGATCCAAAAGAGAGTCCTGAATCAGATACTGGCAGTGCAACCACATCCTCTGATGATATAAAACCAAGATCAGAAGATTATGATGCCGGAGGCTCTCAGGATGATGAAGGATCCAATGAAAGAGGGATTTCTAAATGCAGCACTACGTTATGCCACGATTTTCTTGGAAGAAGCAGCAGTGACACAAGTACACCTGAGGAATTAAAAATTTATGACAGCAGCCTAAGAATAGAAGTGAAAATGAAAAAAGAGGGTTCTGATCTCTTCCGTGTTAATTCAACGAGTGATGATGAAATACCAAGAAAAAGACCAGAAATTTGGTCCCATCAAGAAAGTGCAAGGACCAATACTAGAGAAAGCAAAAGTTCTACTTTTGGCAATGCACAGTTTACTCAGGAAGCAGACCAAGTTTCTTCTTCTGCTGATGAAACAGAAGATGACAGATCTGAAGCAGAGAATGTTGCAGAAAACTTTCCTCCATCAAATGTTCCTACTCAGCAGTTCCAAGGAATTGATAATTTAGCTTTTGAAGATGCAACAGAAAATGATACTGCAAGTCAAGAGTTTTCTAAAACTAAAAATTTCAAACGATCTGTTTTACTTTCAGTAGATGAATGCGAAGAACTGGGATCTGATGATAGAGTGGAAACTCAAACTTCACGTCAGCATTCAATAGATTCTCTTACCCCTTCAGAGGTATTTGATAGTGTTTCTCAAGAGCACCATGGAAAGACTTTTTATTCAAGATACTCACTGGAAATTGAAGATGGATTCCTGGATTGCAAACAGCGTAAGGATAGAGACAATAGATCGGATAAAAGTGAAAGTTCTCTCCAACATCTTCATGGCACTGAAATCCCAGGGAAGGAGAATCAAGGTGCTTCAATGACTGAACAAAATTGCCCAGAGAAAGTATATTCAGCAGCTAGCCCATGTCCAGGAGAAAAACAGAAAGCAAATATAAAGAATGAGGTGGCTAGTGAATTTCACCAGTGCAATAAATACTTAGACAATGATGCAAAATCTCAAGAAAGACCATGTCATTTGGATCTTCATCAGAGAGAAACTAATTCTGATGTGCAAAAGAGCAACTCCGCAAAACCTGTAGAAGCCAGTAAGAATCAGATACTGACTCAGGAAGGTCAAGTGAGAGACAGTCAACCAGCAACTACTGAATGCGCTAATACTGATTTACTTCCAGGTAATGTACAGAAATAGAAACATTCAGTCATTCAAAAACAAATTAATAGGGAAAGCTTTGGCAATTTGTCTGGGATTGAATCCTGAACTGAAGTAATTTTGGCTGAAACTATATTAAATTTAAATATTTTTAAGTATTTCACTTGGGTAGAGAATGCTTGTCTGTTTGAAATATCCGTCAATACCCTGCTGTTCAATGAGAAACTTGCCTCCAAGAAAAGAGATTTTATGTAATGCTAAAAGAAAGATTGGATGCAGTTGTCTGTACTTCAGTTATTTTTGATCCAATCTAACATTGACAGCATCAGCTTTTGATGGAATCTTAGTATTTGTTTTGTCTGCTTGACATATAGTATGTCTGAATGGGATGTGCAATAACTACAGTAATAATCTTAACTAAAGCGCACTGAACTGTTTACCTGAACAGCTATATGCATTATTGTTGTAATTTATTTATATATTATACACAAATTTGGATCCTTCTCCCACTGAATATAACTGAATATTTGCCATATACATCAGTGGGAGCGGGTTTGAACTCTGATTTAGAGCTTATGAGATGTCTAAAATTCTAAATTTTACCAGTAAAAGCTTATTTCCTAAAAGAGAGATTATACTTAAAACTAATGCTTATATACAGAAAAGTTCTAACTTGTTTCATGTAGCTAGGTGAATACTTGTCTAGTTTTGTGTTTTGTCTTCTTTATACCAATAATTCAGTCTGTTTATGCCATCAAAAATATACAATAGTGTTGATTACAACTATTGTGTATTCAAGAGTAATGAAATGCTGATGATGATCTATGTTCAGCCAGACCACAGAACAAGAAGACATTAAAAGTTGTACTATTTTTTTTTTTCAGTTTGCTTGCCCTTGCCTGCAGCTGCCCTTGCATGTGCAGTGTAGAAATAAGCCTGTGGATAAATAATTTTGGTTTTAATTCTCTTCTAAGCTGACATAGCTTAAGTCACCATTCAGTAATCATTCTCTATTAATTCCCTCCATGCACCTCCTGGTCTAAATTTAATTTATGTAGTAAATGAGAAATTTCATGTGCATTAAGTGTATATTTACATTGTCATTTTCTGTATCAGAAACTTAATTATGGAGGTTATTGTTAATTACCAGTGGTGATTGCTGCTTTAACTTAATTTATAAATCATACTTTGTTTTTTATATAGGAAATAAATGCCTCAAATTTTGTCAATTTTGTATAACCCTCCATCCCCCCCTTTTTTAACCTGGTTGGATTGTCCTTCCTGAATGAGTTAAATTTTGCTCTACACAGCCCTGAGGGGAGGATCATCTGCAATTTTTACATTGTACAGTATTGTGAATTATTTCAGGAGACATAGATGATTATGACACAATGGCACAAACCTGCATGTATGAGCATCGGCCTTCAAAAACCCTTTCTCCAATATATGAGATGGATGTTGGAGAAGCAATTGAGCAGAGGATGGATTCAGAAGCAGCAGTTCTAGATGTCGATTTTGAAGATCAGCAGTTTGCAGAACAGGACTGGACTCTTCTCAGGCAATTGTTATCTGAGCAGGACTCAAATATAGGTTTCAAAAACTCTGTTCCTGAAGACCTTAACTTAGCACAATGTCTCATCAATCAGACACTGTTTCTGGCACGAGATGGTTCGAATCCTCAGGGTACATCACAAGTTGACACATTCAGTAGGTGGACTGAACTAATGTCTCCACTTGATGATTCTTCAGCAAGCATTACAGTGGCAAGCTTTTCATCTGAAGACTGTTCGTCCCCTCAAGGGGAATGGACAATTCTTGAACTGGAAACCCATCATTAAGGTGATCAAATGTTTGCAACTGAACTCCAACCCATTCCCCAAATCTATTTTTGATGAGTTGTTTCCATACAATAATGAAATACTGCATCAGTCAAGAACAAGCAATTCTTGATACTGAGGCAATCTTTCTGATATAATGAGGTAAATATGTTAATTTATAATCTAGATTTAATCACAAGTACAATAATTTTTCAAGACTTAAATGTATGTCTTTTCTAAAAATGAACTGTTGAGCATGTATTTTCTAGAATTGTTAGAAAAATTAGATGACATGAAAGAAAAATCTTGTTTCCACCCTCCATTTTATCTTCCTGACATTTAATATTCTCATTGAGCAAGAATTGAAAGATGACTGCACAATTAGTAGAGCTATTCCCCTCCTTTTTTAACCCTTCTCTATATGGTGACTTCATTTTACAACAATAAAGATTCAGAATGGTTGTGTCAAAAGGTGATGTGTGCCAACGCTGCTTTAAATGATGGAAACATATACTTATGTTCAAAGAAAACGTTTCAATATGAATCTGCCTTGGGCCTTATTAATATGAGCAGCTTGTTTCATCTGTTTCTTCCAGATTTGATTTTTGTACTTTTGGTTTGTTTTGTTTAGAAGTTTCCAATAAATTTTTCAAATTGTCTTTCCTTTAACTATTAAGACTTCAGAGGGTCTGTGCTGTAGGAAGAGCGCTGTTTCTTTCTTGGAAATGCACATATTTAAGTAAATATTTTTAATGGCATAGTGCATGAATTCAGGGAAGTTGGCAGAATGCTGCCCCTGTTCTAAAAACCAGTATGTTCTGGTATCTCCAAAAGTGTATCTCAGTCTGAAGTCGTGGGCAGTGTTACATCAGAAGTCTGACACTGACTAGAATTACCTTCAGGCTTCAATTCGTTACACTTGCAACCTTCTGATGCTGTCTGAGGCATAGCAAGATTCTCAGGAATTTGGTTTGGTTTGTTCTCACAGATGCTACATTTTTGGAGGGGTAACGGGATTCTTGCATCTTCATTAATACCTCTAGTGTAGCTTTTATATTGAGATTAAATGTCAACATAACCATTCTTCTAAGAGTGAAATAGGATATACTTCTCAGTACTGCTCATTCTGCTGCTTTTGGCTATTAATTTGGGTGTGGATAGGACTGTTTATTGTCTTTTCTGATTTGATGGGGGAGGAAGGGAGTGAGAAACTACTTGTAATTCTTACCAAGTCAGAACTCCTGAAACATACAGGGCTTTTTCCCTGCTAAGCTTAGGCCCTCTAAGATATCTGCATTATGGAAATAGTAGGGTTTGTCTTTCACACAGCTTAAAATTTAACCAGGAAGTATTCTACCTCCTCTTAGTCATTAACAGAAGTGCCTTCAGAAGTGGGTGCCATATGGCAGTTAAAAGGCTACCAACTTTTTTTGTTAAAACTGTTTAAGATAAGTGCACAACTTGAGCTAGCTGTAACCACTGATAAGATGGTCAGTTTTGCAAGCTTTTGCACAATTCCAACAGTGCACCTGAATTTTCTTTAGAAACTTCATTTCTTTTTGTTCGTAGTCAGAAACTCTCAGTTGTGTGGAAATATGAAGTTGCCCCAGCATATGACTAAAGAAGTTATGACTTGTCTTATCTTTGGACTTGACATAATAAAGAGCTCTGAGGCAAAATAGTTTATCTAGAAAGCTACTCTGTTGAACTTCTGATACAGAAGTAAAAGTGATGTTTTATTTTCCCCAAATTAAACGGAGGAAGAATTTTATCTCATTCTTTAATATCAAGGCAGGGGAAAAAAAAGGAAAGCCTTCCTTTCTCTTTATGTCAATGAAGGACTCAAACTCATGGAAGGAAGATGTTCAGTCTCATAATAAAAATCTTTCCCCTACTCTTTTAGCTTTTAGCAGAATAAATAGTCTGAGATACAATTAAAAACATTTTAAATGTAATATGCTGTATTTAGCCCAGTCTTCATATTGGGTGAGTTAGACGAACCTTTAGAGGTGCAAATCATCAAGAAAACCTACTTTTCACCTTCAAGTTTACAAGGTATATTGACAGTGGGTAATCTTTTGGATTAAGAACTATACTATAGTATTAGCCATAGTAAAAGCTTGAAACTCTAGAGAAGCTCTTACAGAAGGCTGAGGAATGGTGTTTTCTCAATTTCTATGTAAAAGACTAAAGTAAAGGTTGTTTAAAATAAAGTTTAATCAACTTTAAAATCCTGATGATATTCTGGTAGTGGACATTCACATGTTAAACGAAATGATGGAAAAGAGAAGATCAAGGATTAGGAAAAGTGACAGAAAGTGAAAGAAGGGTCCCTTGTGTCTATTTTTTGCTTTACCCACATTTTTAACTTAATACTGAATTGAAAAAGTAACACTGGAAAGTGGCACACGAAGTTCCATGTCCATCATATGAAATACAATCATGTATAGGGGTTTTTAATTGTTTTTTTCTTTGTGTTTACTTTTCCAGTTGTATGAAAATTAAATTAGCTTCTGTCTTCAACTGCCCAGTGATGTTGTTGCAATTCCTTTAATAGTTTTGCAGTAGAACAGTGATTAGGATTTGGTGTATTGTTCAGTTGGTACACATGCAGCCATAGAATTCAGCTTCCCACAGCCAAATAGTCTCTGTAGAAGTAGCAGGAATAGAAAGTGGTATTGTTTTTAATTCGCGTTACCAGAGTGTCTGTAAGGCTTAATCAGACCAGCATTCCACTGGCTAGACATTGTACAAACACAGAACAAACAGAAGGACTTCCCACAGAGTGGTTATAATCCAAGTTAAGACAAAAGACAAAAAAAAACATGGATGGAAAGGTAAAATGAGTGTCAATATTTGTCTAGCTGATTAGCAATGGTTTCAGCACACCATCAGTTTAAATATTGTCATTTTTTTATTCTGTATGCATTATGAGAAGGGGAAATCGGAGGGTGAGATTTGGAGGCTGGGTAATGAGGAGGGAGCTGTAAGGATCTATATTCCTGACCAGCCCTGTGTGTCATCTAAACTCTGTTCCCGTTTGACCTTGTTTAGTAGTCCCTCCTCATTCAGGAGGATGCTCAAGCTTTAAGCAGGTGTATGTGGCTATCTGTTTAATAGGATCAGTCACTTGAGTTCTCTGGAGTCCTGCTTATGCCTCCTGACAGTGATTTTGCCACTGTATCAGCCTCTTCTCCAAAACATGAGAGAATGGACAAAGGTTTGTTTGAAGACTTCATATACAAACAATCAAAACTAGTGTCGTGGGCTCCAAGTGAATAGTGATTAAGAGGTCCTGAATGACCTCTAAAGTAAAGACAAGGTATGTAAATCTGATGAAACAGTGAAAGGGGATCAGTGAAGAAACTAAAGAAAGAGATGGCATAGTCAAAATAATGTTTAAGAATCTACCTTTGCAGTAGTATGATGTTGAATGAGTGATGTTGAATGAGTAAGAGCAGTGAAATTGCTTTGTCAAAGCCTGAGAAGAGAATGTTGCAGTCAACAGGTGATACTGACAGCTTACATGAGATCGTTACGTGAATGGGTAAAGATTTCTGTATCCTACAGTTAGTAACAAGAAATTTAGTGAACTATCAGTGAAATTTAGAGGAGAGGACTCAGAAATCAGAGTTTAAGATAATGACCCTGGTTTTGCCTACCCTGAATGACATGTTATGAAAGTGAAAAATAAGGAAGGATGTTCTAAGTGTATGGATGTATTAAGTTTAAAATAGGCTAGACCTCCAAAAGGTGATGTCAATAGGCATAATTACCCTTTTTGCGTGGAAAATTAGAGTCTAGTCTGGACTGGAGAAGCAGCTCTGCAGGTTTTTCACATATAGATGCTAGCTAAAATAGTATTTGTGGAATAAATCACCGACAGACATATTGCGGAGGGAAAAGAGAAGGAAACTGAGGCCCAAACACTTGGACCACTACAGGAAACTGAGGAAAGTGGAGGTTCTTCCAAATGATCTGCTCAAAAAAACAACTAGGGAAGCAAAGGAAATAAAGATGGTGACAGGAGTCAAATGAGGATGACAGGATATAAGGGAAAAAGCACAGTTGGCTTCATTGAAGATGGCCCACAAGACAGACAAGTATAAAATAGCAGTTTTGAGGCTGGTTAAGAACATGTTCTTAAGGACTGTGATCAAAATGAGATTTTGGCTTCTTCAGAATGAAAGGCAGGCAGATGCCAGTTTGGTAGAGTATGACAGAACGGCAAGAAGGAAACTGAGCTTAACCATTTAGAGAGAGGCAACAGTTAGAAAAGCACATCAGTTAGTAATATATTTTGTTTTGGTTTTTAAAGGCATGAGATTATATCATATTTATATAATGTAGCAAAAGAAATGAGGAGACTGAGACCTAAAGTGAAGATCAGGAGAGAGAAGTATGCATGAAATGAGATCAGCAGGCAGTCTGGGCTGCTACCGCAAGTGACCAGATAAGAGCATAAGAAAAGACAAACATCTGCTTTTGTGGTAGGGGTAGTGGAAAGCACACTCCATATATTCATCATTTTTCTTTTAGAAGAACTTGAAGAATCATAGAATTACAGAAAAATTGCAGAAAAATCACAGAATTACAGAAAAACGCAGGCTTGAAGGAACCTCCAAAGGTCTCTAGTCCAACCTCCTGCTAAAAGCAGGGGTTGCTTCAAAGTTGGATCAGGTTGCTAGGGCCGTATCAAGGTCCATAGTATGTAAAATGGTAATAAAGTCAGCAGACAGGAACATGGTGCTCACAGGAAATAGTTATTTGAGATTAAAAAATATTCTCATTATAATAAAACTACTATGGGTATTGCTGGAAAAGATTAGTAATGAAGTACAAGAAATACGGCTTGCTTGCCGTATTTTTAAGTTCTGGATGATGTGTGACAGAACTGTAGACCTTTAATAATCTCATTCCACACTTTTTAAGGTTTTAAATTATTTCAAAATTACACTGAATTTTTGAGTTTGCAAATTTTACTATTATTTTGGAGGAACTAGTGGGCAAGAGAACTTCCCGTGTTTCTCACACAAAGACTGTCCACAGGATCTGTTCCCCTAGCATTGTCTATCTCAGTTTCTTTCAGGGAATACGTACAAAACAAAAA